ATCGGTAATTGAGTATTAAGTCCTCACTTCATCCCACCTGCGGAGGTTACTTTTCATTTCCGACAGCTGTGTGCCTGGTTTTTCCAGTGTCCTTCAGTTGACGCTGAGAATCGGGTCCTTTAGGAGGGAGGGAAGACTGAGCAGCCAGCATGACATAATCTTTGGATTCATTTTCTTACAAGAGAAACTCTTAGAAATATGACTTTCTTCTTCTTCTTTTTGCTTGTTGCATGTTAAGAGGGTTTTTTTTGTCTTTTGATTAGCACCCCAACTCACTACAAACTCTGTGCCCCAAAAGAGTTTCCAGTGGAAAACTCAGTGCAGGGAGGTCCAGTGGAGACACAGGGGGAACCTTTGCTCTCCCCCCCCCCCCAATTTCCTCCACTGTTGCTGTGGGGTCTCCATCTCTTTTAGTTGGTGGTGAAGCAGCGTGATTAGCAGGGTCTGCAAATCCAACCCCTGTGAGGAGGGAAGGCAAATATAAGGGCAAACAGGAAATAATGCTTTGGGCTTGAGTACAAACATTTTGATTTATGAGGAATTTCTCAACAATGGCAGAAGGCGAATATTCCAAGGAAGGCTGTTTGCCCATTGCCGCCGATCTCTCTCACAGCAGACAATGGCGGAGCAGGATGCCTTTGTGCCTTTTTAGAGCTCGGGAGGTGCTTTGTCAGGTAAAACAACGGCCCTGTACGGGGAAGTCCTTGTTTTGCTGAGGACCCGACCTTGCCCTCCGGTCATCCAGAGAAATCCTTGTAAAGCAGCTCTTTCTGCTCCTGTGCGGATCAGGCAAAGGTTTTTGGGGAAGCTAACAAATCACACCATTAAAAACAGAAGGAAACATATCATATTGGCCTGGGAAATAAGCACATTTCCCCACAGTTGGTCTTCCTAGCCCTCCGAGGAAGGTGAGCACATGCACAGATTGCCACGGATAACAGCTGGAATCGACCTGGGTCTCCTGCATCGTAGTCTCGTGCTGATCTCTGCTGGTGGCCAGCTTGCTTTCCAGTGCAGTGTAGTGCTCAGTATGTTTATAACTGGTCTGCCTCTGACCCGTAGTTTGCAGATCCAGCCTTTTTGCAATATATCACAACCTTCTGTCAGTTGCATCATCTCCTTGTCTTGTCCCAGGAATGCGCATACTCTGCTTGGAGATAGAATGCTGATGGTTCCTATTAACAAAACACTTGGATTTCTTTCTGCACGTTAGCGGATTCCTGCTCCACAATACAGTTTCACGGGTGTGTGATCTTTGGTCACAAGCGCTCGGGTTCTGTCGGGCTAAGGGATATTTTTGGTCCTGAACTTTGCACCGGTTTATTGATAAGTGGATACGCAGCCATCTAAGCAGACATCTTTACAGGGAGCTGATCATAAATTACCAGTCAACATATTTATCTCTGTCTCCCTTCACACCCTGTTTGTTCGACTTTTCCCTCTACTCATTTGCAACCCCATTCACCCGTCAGCAGCTTTTTCACTGATCGCCTTGAAGGAATGCCGATCCCACGTTTTGCTGCAGCTTTGAATCTTGGGAAGATTGTGCTGCATGAAAATGGTAGTGCATATCTTACAGGCATATCTTAACTCATTAAAATCCATATAGCCATGTGAAAAACCAAATAACCCTGGCAGGGATTCCTCCAGTATGCAGGCAAATTTTCAAGAGCCTAGACTGGCTCAGGCAGGCATGCATGCCTGAGTTACCTTTTGGCTAGTTCTTCTGCCATATTAGCTGGCTGGATAGCACAGTAGTTTAGGTCTCTGGCTGGGGAGCCAGAGGTAGGGAGTTCGATTCCCCCACGGGGCCTCCCTGTGAGTAGAGCCAGCCTGGGTGGCCTTGGGCCAGCTGCACACAGTCCTAGGATTTCTCCCCCAGAAGAAGGGAACTGGGAAACTACTTCTGAGTGAATATTCTCTACCTGGAAAATCTTGGAAGGGTTGCCGTTAGTCAGAGATGGTGCACGATCATTGTTTATTTCATCGTATTAACCAAGAGCATAATCTTAGTGTGTTTGCATCCCAAACCAGCTTCCAGCTTCTCCTCTCTGCACTTTTACCTTTTATTTTGCCTTGACAGTTTATACTTTTCATTTCTCATTATATGGCGCAACTTACATTACTAAGCAAGAGATCCCCCCCCGCCCCATTAATGTGCGTGTTATAAAATAGCCAGAGGAACAATAGTTTCCTTCAATGGAGATTCCAGCTCTTTCCAAAAGCGCATCTGGTCCCATGGCTTAACTTCTGTTCTTCGGGTAGGGAGATGGTTTTCTCTGCAGGTTGACTCGCAGCACTTTTCCCTAGGCAGGAAGTATAAAACTGGGAGACAACAAGCTGGGGGCTGATCTTGTTTGCTTGCTTTGACCCGTTTCTTTCGGCCTTGAGTTTGGTTGTGGGCAGCTTCCTCGCTGGCTGTTGGAGGAGGAGGGGAGATAGCTGGTTGCTGGTGTCTCCCCAGCTAGAGAAGCCAACTTCTGGCAGCTCCGAGCCAGCTGGAGAGCCAGGCATCTGTCCAGATGGTAGTCGGAGAACACCATGGGGTCGGCATCCGGCAGCAGGTAGGGGGAAGGGGTGTTTGTGAGTACCTGCAAGAGGGTACCGCAAATCTAAGAAGGCTTGTCTCTGAGCTGTGGGACTATACCCCAAGAAGAGAAGTTCTGGCATTTGTTGCAGCGCTCAACAGCCTGGGACTGTTTGTTGCAGCGCTTAACAACCCAGGCCAGTCTGAGGCTCCAGTCCAGAAGCTGAGTCTCCTTTCAGACTTGCTGTTTTTCCTTCCCTTTGTTGCTGATTCACAGTGAAAGATCTGTTAGCCCTGCCAAAACCTCTGAGTGGGACTCGCTTATGCAATGTGATTCACACAGTTAAGAAAGGAAAGGGGCCCCTTTAAAAAAAAATTTTTTTTTAAGGCTGGGACCTCTGGTAATCAAAACTTCCAGCCCTAATGAGCCACAGAAGGGACTCAGCTGAGTGTCATGGTGCGTGCCTTGCCTACAGAGCTTCAAAAGTTGTGCGGTAAAGGGATTCAGGGTCACATCCTTTCCCGTCAACTGAAAAGCTGTCGGGAGTCTCTGTAGCCGAAGCGGGGGGGGGGGCAGGATCCGAGCGACAGGTGGAGATCCAGGTGCTGCCTGGCATCTGTCCTGATCAGAGTACAAGACAGGAGAAGAGGAAAGGGAAGGCAGGAATGCCGCAGGGTAAGCCACCTTGAAAGCAAGGGGGCAGGCTTTCCTGGAAAGACCCATTCTTTAAAAGGTCATTGCCCTGACCAGGACTATTTATCACATTCAAATACGAATTTTTCATGATGACTTCTTGTGACCACCATCACTGGGGTCAGAGGGTTCCTTTCCACCATACTCTATTCCATGGAATGGGACGTTATCTTATTCAGAGTCAGTTTTTATTGAACATGAAGGCAACTTATTAACAGACCAACATTGAACTCTTCTCTCAGTTACACACAATACCTTTTATCAAGTTCTAGGGCCCCGTCACTCTCCTTAAAGTGTCACCACGAGGATTCTGGTCTCCGCTTGGTTGACAAAGGAGTCCTGCGTATCCCAGGCCAAAGGAAGTGCTGCACCCCGGGGATCATCTCTGCAGTCCCAATGGGAGTAGGTGGGTGATTCCTTCCTTCCTTCCTTCCTTCCTTCCTTCCTTCCTTCCTTGCTTGCTTGCTTGCTTGCTTGCTTGCTTGCTTGCTTGCTTGCTTGCTTGCTTGTGCTGCTCAATTTAAAATTATGAACACATACATATAAGGCAGTGGTCAGGGAACAGGGGTAAATTACCCCAAATGGAGTAAAAATGAAAATCCTGGGGTAATGAGGATGCGACCCTAACCCCCTTTCCCTTCTATTCCCCTTCCTTCCTTCCTTCCTGCCTGCCTGCCTGCCTGCCTGCCTGCCTGCCTGCCTTCCATTCCATTACATTCCATTCCATTCCATTTCCCTTCTAATCCCTTTCCTTCCTCCCTCCCTCCCTCCCTCTGCTCCCCCCTAGGAGTTGAGTGATTTGACCAGCCCTTTCTCGGGATCTGGGCCAGGGTGGATCAGTAGAAAAGGGTTCGGGGGGGATTGAGTAGCCTGTTCTTGAGCTTGGTGTCTTCGCTCTTTTCTCTCTCCCCAAAAGGAAGGTTTCCGAGGGGTCTGTTGGTTATGATATCAATGTACTTCTTCCTCAGGTGCCTTCAAGGAGGCAGTCTTTCCAGGAGGTCTCCTTTAACACATCCTCTCCCTCTCCCTGGGGTGCCATTCTCCCTCTATTCTCTACCTATACCAGGCAGGATTTTTCTCTCTGTTCCTCCTCTGCATCACCCTAGTTCTCCTCCTCGCCTTCCTCTACCACCCTGATTTCATCCTCCCCTTCAGCTATCTTCCCTCTTCTTTTATAGGTTTGTAAAATCCTCTGTTCCCTGGCTTTCCACCTCCCCTAGATAGTCATAAGTAATCATACTTTCTCCCCGGTTGACTGGGGAGCAAAAGGTTTGAAAGTCAGCTGGTCCCAAGGGGAATCGCGAGGATCCGTTGACGGGGGCCTTGGTATCTCTGGTTTTGATTTTGGCCATTTTTGCGGTGTGTGTGGCTTTCAAAGTGTCCTAGGTAATAGAAAATTGGTCCCGGCCTCACTGAAGTTACTCATCTTTGTCTCAATGGTGGAATAAAATCCACGGGTGGACCCTGCTTTTATTCCGATCATCTGAGCATGCACAGAAATGTGCAGGCTGGCTTCAGCTGGGCTTCAACTCTTCCTTGGGTTTACAGTTAATCCTCTTAAAGATATTGTCCACCTTTAACTTTTGAATGTTGCTTTGCTTCCCGTCAAGCAACAAGAACTCATTCTCTCTCCCCAACAATGGGACAAGGTTTCATTGTGGGCGGTCAACCCTAACCCTTCAGGGTGCGGCTTCCGTTCATTGACACCCCACCCCCCTGTTCCTTTTCCCAGGAGAACAGAAATGTGATGCCCTCATGGCTGGTTACTACATCCGCAAGTACGAGGACAACGACTACGAGGCAGCACGTGCCATATTCTCTGATGGAATCCGACATTTTGCTCTTGTTGGTGCCCGGCATGCTCTTAGCTGCCCCCAGACCCACCTCCTGCTGCTGGGCGCCTTCCTCTTGGCCTCCCATTCTTTTTCCCAGGAGAACAGAAATGTGATGCCCTCATGGCTGGTTACTACATCCGCAAGTACGAGGACAACGACTACGAGGCAGCACGTGCCATATTCTCTGATGGAATCCGACATTTTGCTCTTGTTGGTGCCCGGCATGCTCTTAGCTGCCCCCAGACCCACCTCCTGCTGCTGGGCGCCTTCCTCTTGGCCTACGTGGCTTCTGCGTCTGTCCTGTTCTCCCTCGGGGTCGTGTCTGCCCTCTTGGTTCTGGCTGGAACCGTACCAAAGCCATCTGGCTCGATTACGTCCAAGATGCGCTTCGAGAAGACATGCGGGACATCCGGGGGACCTACCTGGAGCGCAAGGACTGCTGCTTCTGGGTGGTGGAGCATGGCGAGGAAGTGGTAGGGACCGTGGCCGTCACCCACCCGGAAGAGCCTTCGTGGCGGGGCAGAGCGCTGGAGCTGAAGCGCATGTCCGTGAAGAAGGAGCACCGCGGCCGGGGGATCTCCAAGGCGCTCACTTGGACCGTCATCCGCTTCGCCCAGGAGCGTGGCTATAAGGAAGTCGTCTTGGGCACCTCCATGGTGCAACACGTGGCTCAGCGGTTGTACGAGAGCATGGGCTTCCGCCGAGTCCAGGTGCTCTCCCCTTCCCTCCTGTTTAAGCTATTGCAGTTTTACTTTTACATTTACAGCTATGAGATCCCAGAGTCTCACTGATGCACACTTTACTCCGGAAGGTGGCCCTGGAGAACAGGGGGCGGCTTCTTTCCTGATGGGAAGGATTTTTGTGGGGTTGCAACCCTACAGGGCCCCAGTATGTTCATGGATTCTCCACCCCTGCCTCTCGCCCACGAGGCAGCTGCTGTGAAAAGATAACTGACTCAGTTGAGCTTTCCTTGGGTTGGATTCCCAACTTCAGTAGGGTCTGATTAAAATAGTGTTCATTGGATATCGGATGGTGTTTAGATGTTCCAGGACAGAGAGAACGGGCAGATGAGAATGGGAGCCTTCCTGTTCGATGGCATGGTGAGATCATCGTCCAAGCCTGGAGCCAGGTCCTTGAGTCTAGATTTTTGTGGGCATAAGGACCACGTTGCCCTCCTCATATAGGAGCCAGCTTTTTCTGAACTAGGGATAAGTTTGGTCAACCTGCAGGTTTCATATCTGGAAGCAGGAGAGAAGCAGCCTCTTCCTTTGGCAAAATGCTCCATTAAAAATGCACATATAAAGAATTACTTACTAAAGAATATAAAAGGTAAGCAAGAGCTAGAGGAATTAAGTGTGGCCACTGATTGGTGGTCCATGTTGTAACTGGAATCGAGATATAAAAAAAGATAAAGCCATAGGTTTCTTTGAGGGTGAAGTGCAGGTGGATAAACTGTGGATATATACTGATGAGAAAATAATAAAAAAAGAAGTACAGTACATATACTTACTGGAATATGACTTCGAGGATGAGAAGGTGAAAGAGGTGCTGGTAAAATGGGCAAGTAACTTTGGACATAATATAGACATTGATGATTGGACAAGGATGTGGAAAGAGTGTCATAAGATGATTAAGCCATTAAACCTTAGGGAAAATATCCTCAAAATGTTTTATAGATGGCATTATACACCTGTAAGATTGGCAAAAATATCAGAGGGTAACAGCAATGTTTGTTGAAAGTGTAAAAAAAAAAGGTAGGGACTTATTGTCATATGTGGTGGACATGCGAAAATGTCAAAGGATACTGGACACAGGTGTGGGAACTAGTAAAAGAAATTATTCAACAAAAATTTAATTTTAAACCTGAAATAGCATTACTGAATATAATGCCAGAAATCATTGATAAGAAAATAAAATACTGCCTAATGTATATACAGTGGTGCCCCGTATAGCGAGGTTAATCCGTTCCGGATTAACCTTCGCTATGTGAAAACATCGCTGTACGGGCAAGGAAAGCCTATTGGAACGCATTAAACTTAGTTTAATGCGTTCCAATAAGCGTCCAAACTTACCCCTCCAGCGATGTTTTCACATCCGGCGGCCATTTTGGAGCCGCCGATTAGGGCAAAGTCTTGTATTCTATATACTCAGTGCTCACCGGAAACCAGTTGGAGAAATCCGAGATCCAAACGATGTTGGAATCTCTGTCCTAAAAGGGGGGAGAGGGCTTGCTTTTAGTTTAGTGGGGTTTTTTATTTTCTGTTCGTAATTGCTGGTTGTTTGGTGTTTTTTATTTGTTTGCTTTGTAGTGCTTTTTCCAAATAAAGTTTAGTTTGTTTTTTTAAACAAAAGCAGAGCCCACTTGGCCTGAAAAGTCTACGCTTTTCTCCGCTACTGATCTTCACATC